TTTGGAAAAAAAAAAAAAGAAATTATAACTTCTTATAGGAATTTTCTGAATATTTATATTGTTGCATATGTATGTGTGTGTGTATATATAGACAGACACACATACACATGTGTGTGTGTGTGTAATGTAATTAAATTGTATAGCAAGTTGTGAAAAATAATGGCTGCTTTTGATAACGGTGTCTGGCTGTGCAGCTTTAAAACTAGTTGTAGTCCACAAGCAGTAAGACATAGCATGAAGGTCCTGTCAGTTCTATAGCCATTTAATTGTGAATTCTCTGCATAACATTTCAACAGTAACAGGCTAGAGAGATGTCTCCCCTCAGTGACCTAAGGTACACAGAGCTAAATAAAAATAAATTACACATAAACTAGAAGGGGTATAAGACCTTATCTCTCCTTTCCTCTTTCCAGATTTGAAATCTTGTTTGTCAAATTGCAATGTCAAGGGTTTTAGTTTTCTCTTTAGCCTTATAAATGAGAAGAAGCACTTTTAACAACAAGTATGTGAAATCTCATTTTAATGGACTAATTGGGGGATGGAGTGTCCTACTTAGGAAAGTCTATTGCCAGAATGCACATAGCACATACATGATGACATATGATGCAGATTAGATCATTTATGTCATTTGTATCAATGTATGTAATTTGCATTGAGCTGAAGTCCAACAAAATAAGTTTTCATGTATGTAAAAAATATAAATAGCCACACTGAATCCATGGATTATAGGTGTAATTATTTATTATTATTATTATTATTATTATTATTATTATTATTATTATTATTATTATTATTATTATTTATTGAATTTTTACCCCGCCCTTCTCCTTGCGGACTCAGGGCGGCTAACAGCCTGATAAAAACAAATACAAAAATACCAAAATACTATCATTAAAAACATAATTAAAAGGAAATATTACTTTGGCCTTTGTTATTTTAAAATTATTTTAAAACCCAGCTAAAAATTACCCCTTAGGCCAGTCCTGCTAGCTGAAATAGCCATGTCTTAAGGGCGCGGCGGAAGGAAGGGAGATCCGGGATCACCCGGATCTCTGGGGGCAGTTCGTTCCAGAGGGTGGGAGCTCCCACTGAGAAGGCCCTCCCCCTGGGGGTCGCATAGTGGAAATTGTACAATTGTACAAAATGTTTGAATTAAGATTTTGGATTATTCAGAATTTTTCACCAAATTAGAACTTATTGGATGGGAAAGTATGATCTGCCTCTATTTTTATGGATTGGTAACCCGTTCAGAATTTTTTAACATTACTTGGTTAAAAGAAAAAAAATCTAATTGCAGTTGACCTATGTTTTTTTGGGGGGGGGGAATAAAATGAAGGATTGAATGAATGAAAATTTGTCCTTCAATTAGAATGATGAAGTGTTCTTTGGAGAGAAGGCATTAATACTATTAAAAAAAATGGCCAGATCCAGTCATATAAGGGACATGGCAGTGTAGAATGGCAGCTGCATTAGAAACGGTGAGACACCAACTTCTGCCCTTTTCTCTGTGTGCACTTTGAAAACTTGCAGGTTATTATTAGCTCTCTGGTTTTGTAGTGTAAGCAGCAGATTAGCATATTTCACAGCTGCAATTGGGAACAGGAAGTGGCAAGGGAAAGACAATCCTAAGGTGTAATTAGAGAAGGAGGGCTGTCCTGGTGGAAATGCCAAATCTGGATCACTGAAGCATGTGTTTCCTGTGCCAAGTGATCATATACATCTGGGGGTAGACCACTGGTTGGGCTATGGTCCAGCCTGGTTGTCTCATCAAGCCTGACTCATTTTCCTCTCCATTCTGCTTTCAGAGATACCCGCATTTCACCTTTAGACCCACATGGCACTTTTGGCTAATGCAAGTGGTCAGGCAGTAATCGCCTGGGAGTGGAGAACAGATTGGAAAACTGCTAGATGAAATTCTCATTGCCAAGTAGGGGTTGAATAATGATCAGGCGTTCCTGGTAACTTAGCATCCTTTCTTCTATCTAAATTGTCAGAGCTGCCACTGTGCTGATGGTCTCTTCCATAGTGATTCAAGAGAACTAATTCTGGGCTGACCTCAGACTGCAAGCAGTCTTATGGATCAGTTGTCTGAAGAATGTGGATGCTGAGCTGTATTGGTTCTCAAATTGGTGTAAAATATGACCATAACAGGTACACGAAATTGAGATCATATCACTCCAAAATATAAAAAAAGATCTGGATTGTTTAGTTGTCTTCCAGGCTTGGTGCATGTTATTCATCTATTTAAGCCAGGGGTCTTCAAACTTGGCCCTTTTATGATTTGTGGACTTCAACTCCCAGACGCTGGCTGAGGAATTCTGTGAGTTGAAGTCCACAAGTCATAAAAGGGCAAGTTTGAAGACCCCTGATTTAAGCCTTTCAATTGGTTTTATGGCTGTTTTATGATGAACAAACCCAAGTATTTATGAGAACATCCCCTCTACCCAACAAAATCATACAGTTGACACACAGAAAGGACATCTTCCTGCATCCTTCCCAGACAGTGGACTGTGTTTCCTTTCTAGGAAGGATTCGCTCTCATTTTTGGTGCTGATGGTCTCCTCCATCCAAAGGAATTAAGATACATAGTTTCAATTTGGCCTTTTAAATAGTAATATAATAATTTAACATGTTTTTATTATTTATGTCTTTTAGTTTTTATGGTATACTAACAGGAGTGGTATTTGTTAAAAAGCTGTAAACAAATAGTAAATAAGTAGTTTAATACTGCAATTAACAATAATGCCTTTATTAATGTAGTAATTAAACAATTTATATAAAAGAATAGGTTTAGCATGTTAGCAATGTATGTTTAACTGTAAATGTGCTATTTCTTGAATGAGAAGATACTGATTTTAGAGAAAACGGATTTATAGTTGAAACAGATACCCTC